ATTATTATCTTAATTGACGCAGAATATACAAATATTTTCAACATAAGTTTGTAATTTCAATATTGTAGATATTTATTTTCCAAAAACATTTATAGAAACTTAAACCCACTCGTATTTGATAGTTTATGCTACCACTGAAAAATTAACAAAATACAAAAATATAATCATTTAGATATGAACTAATTTTTACATGTTATACGCATATATATACAATATAGTGTATTATTAATTTTTTTTCAAAATAAAATGAATTGTGTAGCTTATTATTTTAAATTTAAAACAAGAATTTATATTTTTTTAATAAATAATAATAATTATTATAAAAATTGTAAATCGTCAATATTTTACAAATCATAGCTCTAGAAGGAAAAGATTCTAATTGATCTAAGATTTTTTTTTTTGAGAAATTATTAAATATTTTTTATTTTTTATGATTATATAGAAAGATAAATAGTAATACTTTTATCATAAATCACTTATATAATTAAAATATAAAAATAATATAGATATAAATTTTTTTTGTTTTTTTTTTTAGATGCATATGTTATTTTATTTTATTTCAATTTATCAACCATAAAGTATTTTTATGTTTTTCCTTTATACTTTAAGTGTTTCAACTTTATTTTTTCAAGTAGAAAAATACATAATCCGAACAGTGGTCACACATCGGCGCGGCTGCTTTACAAATACGGTGAAAGTACTCGTTAAAGCAGCCGTGGCCGGACATCTCTTTGGTGAGACGATAAGTCATCTCACCGTGAGTCCGGTCCACCCTCCTGTCCAGCCGATCGGGTCCAATGAAGGACCTGGTCCACTCGCCTCTCGTCGTTTCCTCCAAGAGGTGAGTCCGCCACCAGAGTATGGTCATCCGCCTGAGCGTCAGCCGGTCCTCGGGTTCGAAGGATCGGCCGCATTCTCGGCGGAGCTCATGCCCGGCGTCGCGTTCCTCGGCGAGCAGGTCGGTGGGCGGCCCCTAAGACTTCTCTACAGTGTCGGTGTGATCGGGCTCAACGGGGCTACGAAACGTCGGCACGAGCACAATTTCTCTAGCTCGGCGAATCGGGCGCGTCATCAAGTTGCGGATAGAGGAACAGCCTGCAGATATGCAGGTTAGTCGCAAAATAATTAGTCCATTCGTTTGGACAGCGAGCCTTCCAGACGATTGATAATCCTATAGATATACAGGATAGCCGTGAAATAAGCTTATGTGGACGAATAGGCGGTAGAGTTTGGGTGAGAACGGAGAATTACGGCAACGCAGCTTACCACGGGGTTGGTACTGCGACTGCAGGGAGTGGTAGTGACCAAGCCATACTCACCGGTGAAATAGCCGAGAGGTTATTGGCAACGGAATGCTTGGAGACTGAACTGAATTTGGAAGCTGCCACCCCCCCAGATGAGTCAGTAAAACCCTCCATATTAGAGAGCGGCAATCGGCGTGATGGACCGCGGCCTCACGGTCGCAGAAATCGAGTCGAGCGATGGTTACGTAGTAGCGAGGATAGATGGCATCGACGTCTTGAGCTGCTACGCGCCACCCAGCTTGCCGATCGCTGGACTTCTCGAATCTGTCTCCTCCTGCCTCAGGTCTAGGAGGCTCCGGTGGCCGCTCAAAGGCCGCGGAGAACTCGTGGCCGAAGACTTCAACGCCCACTCCCCGGTCTGGTGGTCAGCGGACACGAACCATCGTGGCGAGGACCTGTTAGAACAAAGAGGTGGTGGCCAGGCGTGAGGAGTGCGTTAGTGGCTGGAGGCCCATGATGTGCTCTAACTTTTTTGATTGGTTTTTTTTTAGTTAAAGGAAATCATTAAAATTAATTCGGTTCTACATATTTCAATTGTAGAATCTAACACCCAAAGTTAATTAGAAATGAATACTATGATTTCTATTTAAATGATCTATTACGATAAAAATGCAAAAAAAATCTAACTTTTCTGATAAATTTACTGTAAATAGTAATTATAAAATTTGCTGACTGCATATTAATCTTAACAATACCATTTTTTTCTATTTAATGATGTCTATTTCAAACTTGCAAATTGAGCTAAAAGTTATGACAATAAATTCATTATTTCTTTTTATTATAAAATAATTTTACGTTCTCCAAAAAAATTAGGTTAAAAATTATTAATCCGCCATTTCTTAAAATTAAACACTATCGACAGATTTTCATCAAAACGTAGTTTGGGGGACACCTGACGCATAGAAAGGGCACTGATAAGGAACCTGACAAACTCGAGTTCATACGCGTTATACCATTCTCAATGTGAAGGACTTACGTCAATAGACCCCCTTACCGAACTGCTCAAAAAAAAGGGGAAAAGTGGTAACGGTCCTAAGAGAAGCACCATGAAAAGCGATTTAAGGATTTGGCTGACCAACACCGCGTGCCATACGTCACAGTACAAACTCCAGCGAATAATTCAAAGTCCACAACGACATGCTGCAAATAAAAGTTGGAGTCACCTTTGTGTTATACCATCAAAGAACACCGACCCGTGTCAACCGATTTCTACATTGCAGCAACATAATATATTGCTTAATAATAAATTAAATTATAAAAAACGTTTATATGAAACTTCATTCTGTAGGTTGAATGGATTGTCTGCAATATTTAAATAAACGAACAAGATAACTTTTAACGGTTAGGATAAATCTGTGTTATTTTTAAAAACCGCATTATTATGTGATTATAAGTTAATTTCCTGAATTAAGTGTGGCGAAATAAATATTTATTAGCACAGTCAAAGAGTCCCATTACCAATTTTTAGTGGTTGCTCGTTAAAAAATTATGTAATAGACTTTGAATGATTAGTCCTCAAATCAAATTTTTTATTTAATACTTAATAATTAAAAATATTATTCAATTTTGTATTAAACATACCGTAATTTTGATTTCACTTTAAACCATTTTAATTCATTATTGTATTATTTAAATAAAATACAAAACAATACATTTTTTATTTTATATTATTAACAGTCAGAACAAATAATTATTTTTAACGTTATTATTTATTCATGTTTATATTAGCTCCGATGCGAAACTCAGTANATAACGTTATTCATGTTTATATTAGCTCCGATGCGAAACTCAGTAAGTATTACTTTATCGTGATATCTTTTTTTACGTTTCTTACAATTTTTTCTCAGCTCTCAGAAAACCGATTTCTTTAAACAATACGCAAAAGATCACACTGTTTCATCACTCAGAAATACTGTTCCTCAAAAAATTAAGGATTCTATAAATACTAACTGTTTTGTGTATAAATTTATGAATTTTGATACACTGAGTGATTTTTTTATTATAACCCACTTAATAACTTATTATTTTTTGTTATCTTTACCAACACATTATTCTTCAATTATTAACTATGTAATACTTTTTATGTTCGTCCCTTATGTATTTTAAAGGTATCAACTTTGTTTTTTTCAATGTAAACACATATTTTAAATTTGAAAAAATGTTTTAGTTTTTAATTTAATAGTAAATGGTATTTGAATTTTTAATAGAACTTTATTCGTTTATTAGATATAAACATTTAAAGTTTCAAATTTTCGAGTTAATATACATGTATATTAACACAATAATACATGTATAATACACAAGGGATACAAATATAGGTAGCTAATTGGTTTTTTATGACGTCGCTGACACAATCGCGTGATCAATCATCAATGATCACGAAAATCATTTATTATCAATTGTGACTATCATTAGATATACTTTCTGTATTTCCAGTTAGTGTATTTATAAACTCACAACAATGTGCTTTATTACCAATGTTAATAAATGCTGTGTACTGACATCATACACTAATAAGTATATTTATATTTACATAAATTTATATCATGATATTGATAAAATAACTTGAAATGATTAAAAATGATTGATAAGTGTTGCAAAGATAAGAACATAAAATCCCTAGTGATTTTTTTTAAAAGGAATGCTTGGAAATTCAATAGTTTATAGTTATCCCTGTCATTGGAGCAATATATGATCCTAATACACAAAGGCGTAAAGCATTTGAGTAAATGTATTTGAATAAAAGTATTCAAATACTTTCATTGGTATTGAATAGTATTTTTAAATACATTTAATAAAAAGTATCTGAGTAGTATTTTAAATACAATTATTTAGTATTTAATACTGTTTAATATTCAGTACTATTAATGTACTTTTTTTTTTTAATTTGCTAACCGTAACACAGCAAGCAAATTAAACTCAGTCAAAATGAAAATTGAGAATAATTTTCTGTTATTTTATATGTTACATTATAGTATAACATAATTATTGTGCTTATCTAAATGCTATTATGTATACATCTATTTTTAATACATCAGTTGAACCTACAATAGCCTATTGCAGGTTCAAATGATTTACTCTATTGTCAATAAGACATACTTTACAGGTTTTTACACGTGTACTAATATTTATTTTTTTCACTGATTAGTCTCCAATAATTAATTTTATTTACCTCTAACAAAAAATATCGAAAATAATAAATGAGTTCTCTTAATTTAAGAGTACTCAATATTTGACTCAAATTACCCTCTTGGTAATTATTTAGGTGGAACCTTTTGCTCTTAGTTAAAATAAAAACATTATTATTATTTTTTAATTGTATTCTTAGTATTTGAAATACTTTTGTAAAGTAATTGAGTATTACTCAAATACTTTTGTATGAAAAGTATTCAAATAGTATTTTAAATACATTTTTTTTTAAATATTTGAATATTATTTAAAATACTTTTTAAAAGTATTTTTTACATCTATGCTAATACACTTCCATTACACCACCACTGATATTTTTAAAACTAAGACTCAGCATATGTTCCTATAGTTTTTATATTATTACATTACAGCTCAAAAACTATAATAGTATAATATATGATATTATCATTTATATTAACGTAAAATCATAGAATTATACCTTATCATTGATTTATAACCATTAAATACATAATCGAACAAAAAAAAAATATTCTTGCAAAACATGTATTTAATATAAAATTTATTGGGTTGTTATAACAATTATTCAAAAAAGCATTACAAATGTGCATCTTAATCATATAACATATATTTTTATTAAAAACCACATATTTAGTTTATATATTCCATTAAATTATTTATGTTTTACCATAAAATTTTCAATATCAAATCATTTTATTTTTACATTAAATATTCTTCTTCGTATAATAAACAAAGTACTAAATAAATTTATTTAATTAGATATAAATAGATTTTTCCATGCGTTTATTAGTCACCTGATTTATTTAAGTTAGGTACTGTTTATAGTTGATTTTTTATTGTATCTTAAGTTAGTCTTACGTTAAGTACGAATATTTCATTAAAAATCCTAAGATAATTTTATATCCTAGTAAAATAATGATGTTGATTTCTTTTACTGAAGTATATAAAAAAATTTAGAGATCAATTTTTGGTAAAAGGTTTTAGGTAATTATTTTACACTTACTAGAATAAAATAATATTTATAGTTTTAAATAATGTAATCATACGTTAGTAGATATTAAGTCTTTTGTTCTATTTTGTGTTGTAGTTAATGTTGTAAAAGTAATTTTTTAGTCTATCTAGAAATAAAAATCATACAGGCTTTATGCAAAGCGAGTGAACAGAACTTAACTGTGTAGTCATGTGTTTTAAACATACTATTACTTATAAAAAAAAGTTGTATTGTATTTTAAGTAATGAGTTTTAATTTTCTTATTTGCATAGTTAAATAAGAACTAGGTGTAAAGTAAATAGTTAAAATTTACAACTAGTTTTAAGTAGTATTGTAATCAAATAATCGCAATTTATTGTAGTAAAACTTTTCCATAACATTTAAAATTTGTATGTCATGTCATATATATCATGTTAGAATTATTAGTTATAGAATCAAATAGTTAATCAATATTTTCATCATATAATATCTTGTATTTGTAAATCTTTATTAAGTTGTTTACATGTTACTTTATAAATAGATAAATTTATGAAAAAGAAAATTGGTAACCTTGTGCTTAAGTATTTAATTTGTAATAGTCCTAAATTGGTTTGAGTGTTTTTAATTAAAGAATAATTAATTTTTGTTTGATAAACTCTTAGAATATATGTATAGTCAAGTCTTATAATGTTATTATGTAATGTACAAATTACGTTTAAAAAAAAAATTTTGATAGTTACCATATGAAAATTAATTACTATGAAAATGTTAAAGTAATAGACTAACTAGTATTGGAATAAGAATACATCTAATATTTTTACCTAGGTGATAAAAACATTTTACTTTTCAAATTATTTAATTTAATTTTTTTTCATCTATCGTTAAACATAAAAATGTTTGTTTCGTTGAAGCAGCGTATCAAATGATTGAAACTTAGAGTTTAAACAATTTAGGAAAATTTATATGTACCAAATTTGTAACAGTAATTTTAGTTAATAGTTAATTATAAAACTGTAGTAAAATAAAATTGTGGATACATTTTGTATCGAGCTATAAAAAATATTTTAAGTATAAACGTTGTGGCGTACTTTATAAAAACAAAATAAAATAATACATCCTATTGTAAGTCGAATATTTTTTCATGTTGAGTTAGAGTTTTCAAACGTGTTATTGCGATTCATTACTACAGTAAATTCACGTTTAAATTATATTCAATTGAATATGTTTGTGTTAAGGTTGTTTTCTTTGTGTGTCATAAAATCAAAAAAGTTACACAGTTATAGTTTTTTTTCTGTATTGGTTATTTTATACGTTTTTTAGTAGTAATTTAACTGTCAATAATTAAAAGTTATAATTCTAGAAAAATGTTTTATTTTTTAACTTGCAGGAGTTTATTGTTTTTTATTAAAATTCTCAGCTAAAAATAGTAGTAATTGTAAAAATGAAGAAAATATTTGTTTTTTAGGTTGCAGTAAATTTCATCTTGTTAGTTAACAATACTTTAGTCATTAAAAAAATAGTTTTTTGTTGTAATGTACCAGGTTAGACGTAATTGTCGTCAAAAAAAGTTGTTAAATTCAAATGAGTTGAACTTATATTATTTGTCTAGAAATTTTAGGTAGAATTTATTATGTCATTGTTTTAAGTATAATGAAAAGTAGTTTAGTAAAAACAATATAGTCACTTTAAATTTTAAGTAGGTAATAAAGATACTAATACATTAGTCAATCGCTGTACGTTTTCTGTAGAAGTTGTTTGTCAAAGAGTATTATTTAAATATCTTGAACTATTACATCTCAAACTGAATGTCAATTGTTAATAAATAAATCCACAGCGATTATCTGTACCAGTTTTAAATCAAAAGGTCCAAATAATATTCGAGGAAAAAGTTATTATATACAAAATTACAGGCTTTATTTGTGGTCAGATTGTAAAATATTTATATTGGCCATAAATTTATTTAGAGAAACAAACACGTGAAAAAATCATTCATAAAAAACATTACGCCAGAGAGTTGTCACATTTGTTACCTCTCACTTAAACTCGCTTCTTTTTTTGCAAGTCAAATAGTTCTTGTAAATTGTTTTTGATTAGTCGAATCGTAATAAGTTAATTAATGTGTATAAGATGTAATTGGTAAGTAATGTATGAAGAATTTAGTGAATATTAACGAATTTTAGTCACAAAAAAAAATTATTCGACAAAAAACATAAAAATAATTATAAGGTTCTCTTTTGTACTTTATCAATTATAATACTATTCATATTTTTAATTAGATCGATGATCATATTGTTTAAACAAAATGATTTTTGACACACAAAATACAACAACATTAAGTGAAAATCTTTTGAGAAGCATGTTAATGACCTTGTGACCTACTTTCTTTGTAAGTTTTCAATTTTACATTCTGTCCTCACTAGGCACAATTGTCAGTATGGTGTTGCATTGGATTTCAAGTGAAAGTTTATAGTGAAATTATAAATTGAATGATTAAATACACATAAACGTCAACTGTAATTGCTCCTAAATGTCTACAACAATTAAAGAACGTGTAATGGTTAGTTTAAATAGGAATTAACTTCGTATAGTTCACGTGGTTTATCTTTGTTTGTAATTATTAATTTTTGTGTGGTAAACAGTACGGTTGCCAAAGTACAGATGTCCAATTTTTTTTTTATGTTACTTTTTTTCCTTATTGCGTTAAATCACCAAGAAAAATAAAAAAACATTTTTGAATACGACCTTTTTCAAAAAGACGATTCAATTCTAAATAATCAAAAAATATTCATGTGTCTAATGGTTTTGTTATGTTATATTAGTTACCAGTAAGTATTATTACTGATTATAATAATATGAAGTATTACTAATCAAAATAATCGAATAAATTTTAACAATTTATCCTATTAAAAATTAAAACGTAAGTCTAATGTGTGAAAGTCAAAGTTATCTAAATCGAGCCAGACGTGTGAACGCCTCTAGTTCCGACTGCATGTAAATTGTATTATGCACTTTTTATCATAAAGTCTTCTTACAGTCAGTACTCGTCTATTTCAACAGTCGTTGTTATTGGAACGTTGACTCATAAATAAACATTTTATAATATTTTTATGAGAAAAGATTTGTGCGTGTGTTATGCGTTTTCGTCGCAGATGTCTTCTTGTAAATTGTACGTCATGTATTGGTAGTCGTTAAATTACAGTTCCAGTTGGGTTATGGATGTCACAGGTATAAAAGTAGTTGTTTAAGTGAAAAGTTTATTTATTATTATTATTTAGTCATATCGAAGTGTAAATGTAAATTATATTGATTTAATATGATATTAAATAACTAATTTTACATTATTCGTGTGTAATTAAATGTAGGTATTGTTAGTAGACATACATAATTGATTATAACAGTAACTGAAGTCATAGTTTTAAGTATTCAAATTTGTTATGTAGTAATATTAACAGTTAATTACAACAATTATTGTTGTGAAGTAATAGTTTGTTGTTGAGTAATGTAGTATATGTATGTAATTGTATTATTAGGTCGAAATGTAGTAAGTAATTAAATAACCAGGTAAATGACAATCGCAAACATTCAAAACATTGATTTAACTGAGTACTAAACAAACTAAACCGGTGGGTGAATAACAAATAAAAAAAAAATCGATTAAAAATTAAAAATATTAAATAAATAAATAAAATTATTTTATCACAGCCATAAATAGAAATTCATTTAAAATAATTTATCTGTACAATAAGCAGAGTACGCGATACGAGGATAATTTTTTAATATTACAAACGGTTAATTTGATTGTTATTGAGTTCATTACTATCGGTTGTGCATTAATGATTTATTTACATAAAATAATTAAAACGCCGACGGTTTTTAAGATAAATAAACCATTGATGATTAAAACTGATAAATTGTTTGAGATTTGTGCATTGGGATCGTTATTTTCTGATTTAATTTATCTTGAAAAGTTATTAAAGGCCTTTTTCATGAGAAGGATAAGTTTTTTTTGTATTTTATCGGCCTAACGCTGTAGTGCAAAAGCAGTGAATGTGTTTACAAATGAAAATATTTACACTTAATCTAAGAATGAATAATAAATAAAAAACGAGTTGGGCATTTTCTTTTAGAATAAAATAAATAAAAACCCTTTAACGTATTATCCGCTGCTACGTGATTATTGTGATGTTGTCGAGACGTCGTCGTTCCACTGCATTTTGACTACATCGCATATTAAAACTGAAAAAAAAACAAATCACATGAATTAGAACCGAATAAAACCATATAGTCGCTTGTGCTGCAACAGTGCGCATTTCAAAATGAGATGTGTTAACAGTAATGATAAAAAAAAGTTTTACTCGACATTTTTTCCTGCAAAGATTTTTGCGAGGCTCGTACTTGTATTGCAAACAAAACCACCATCGCCTATTTTATTAAAACGCGTATAATTTGTTTGGTTAACATCGTGAAAAACTGACATACGCACTNGGTTAACATCGTGAAAAACTGACATACGCACTGCAGCAGTATATGTGCTATTTACCGATTAATTAGTATAAATTGTCGCATAGTTGTTAACGTACGTTTCTTCGGTATAATTAATGAATAACTCCGAGCGAGACGTGGCGATCAGATGGCTGAC